AATCAAAGATGTAATTAAAAACCTAGCAACTAAGAAAAGCCCAGGCCCTGACAGATTCATGATGAATTCTACAAGAAATTTAGAGAAGACTTAACACCAATACTTCTCAAATTCTTTAATAAAATTGAAAAGGAAACAATACTTCCAAATTCATTCCTGGAAGCAAGCATTACCCTGATATCAAAACCAGGGAAGGACCTAACTAAGAAAGAACTACAGGCCAATCTCCCTAATGAACTTAGATGCAAAAATCATCAATAAGATACTGGCAAATAATGCAGCAAATCATCAAGAAGATAACCACATAACCAAGTGGGATTCATATCAGGGTTGCATGGATGGTTCAACATAAGTAAATCAAAACATGTAATATACCATATTACCAGAGCCAAGGGCAAAAATCATATGATCATCTCAACAGATTCATAAAACTTTTTGACAAAGTCCAGCACCCATTCATGATAAAAACCCTACAGAAAATCAGAATAGATGGTCTTTATCTTAATCTAATAAAAGCCATCTATGACAGGCCAACAGCCAAGATCATACTACATGGACAGAAACTGAAAGCTTTCACTCTAAAATCAAGAACAAGACAAGGATGTCCACTCTCTCCACTCTTATTCAACATAGTCCTGGAAACTTTAGCCAGAGAAATTAGACAAGAGAGAGAAATAAAAAAAAAAAGAAATAAAAGTAATAATGATAGGAAAGGAAGAAGTAAAATTATCACTATTTTCAGGTGATGTGATACTCTACATAGAAAACTCCAAACATTCCACTAAAAAACTACAAGATTTGATAAGCAAATGCAGCAGTGTAGCTGGATACAAAGCCAGCATTCAAAAATGAAAAGCCTTTTTATACTCAAATAACAAACTCACTCAGAAAGAAATTAGGGAAAAAATACCTTTCATAATAGCATCCAAAAAAGTGAAATACCTAGGAATCAATCTAATGAAGGATGTAAAGGACCTCTTTTTTGGAAACTACAGTACTCTGAAAAAGGAGATTGAAGTGGATATCAGAAAATGGAAAGATATCCCTTGCTTTTGCATAGGAAGAAACAATATAGTGAAAATGTCATACTTCCAAAACTGTTATACAGACTTAATGCAATTCCAATCAAAATTCTAACAGCATATCTCACAGAATTAGAGAAAACAATCCTAAAATTCATTTGGAACCAGAAGAGACCTAGAATAGCAAAGGCAATTCTGGGCAACAAAGGCAAGGCAGGGGGCATCACAATCCCCGACTTGAAATTATACTATAAAGCTAGTGTGCTAAAATCATCATGGTACTGGCAGAAAACAGACCTAAAGATCAATGGAACAGACCAGAAGATGCAGAAATAACTCCAGACATACTCAGCCACTTTATATTTCACAAAGGGCCAAAGACATGAAAGACAGCCTCTTCAATAAATGGTGCTGGAAAAACTGGCTCTGCGCATGTTGAAGATTAAATCTGGACCTATATCTTTCACCATACACTACTAAATTTGAAATGGATCAAAGATCTAAATATTAAGACAGAAACATTCAACCCGCTGGAAGACAGAATAGGTAAAACTCTTGAAAACATTGGTTTATGCAAAGACTTTATGAATAAAACCCCAACTGCACAAGAACTATTACAATCAACAAGTGGGATCTCATCCTATGTAAAAGCTTTTGCACAGCAAGAGAAACCACCAACAGAGTAAAGAGACAGCCACAATGTGGGAAAAAATGTTTGTCAGATGTTCCTCAGACAAAGGTTTACTATCAAGAATGTAAAAAGAACTCAAAAAAATCAGACCTCTCAAATTTAAAGACTCAATCCAAAAATGGGCATCGGAGATGAAGACACATTCTCAAATGAACAAATATAAACAGCAAATAAATATATGAAAAAAATGTCCAACATCACTGGTCATTTGAGAGTTGCAAATTAAAACAACCCTGAGAATTCATCTCACCCCAGAAAGAATGGATATCATCAAGAAATTAACCAATAACAGATACTTGAAGGGCTGTGGGGAAAAAGGAGCCCTTACTGTTGGTGGGAGTGTATGTTGGTACAACCACTGTGGAAATCAGTGTGGAGATTCCTAAAAAACTAGGACTGGAGGTCCCATTTGACCCAGCTATTCCCCTTCTCGGTATCTTTCTAGAATTAAAAACATTACAGCACAGTGATATATGTGCACCCATGTTTATAGCAGCACAATTTGTAAATAGCTAAATCTTGAAAACAACCTGAATGCCCATCAACTGAGAAATGGATAAAAAAGATGTGGTCTTTCTATATAATGGAGTACTACTTGGTCATTAAGAAGGATAAACTGAGGATTTTTATAGGTAAACGGATGCAAACTGAAACCATACTCATAAGTGAAATAAACCAGATGCACATGTGTAAAGATTGTACTGTCTCCCTAATGTGAGAAGATGAAAGAGCAAATAAGATCCAAAATGTAAAATAGATACTGTAAAATAGAAAGAAACTTCAAAAGGAAAGAGAAACTGATTTGGGGGAATGGAAAAAAGAAAGAACGGAAAAGCAAAAGCAAAAATATATATATAAAGATAGTTAAAAATATTTCACACTCCCAAGTAACTAAAGATAACAATATACAATGTATTAACCATTGTTACCCTCCTATCATATTGTTTTGGGATTTTGCTTTTCGTTTCCTGTTTTTTGTTTTCCTTTAAAATAAAATTTAAAAAATTAAAACTGGGGGACTTCAGCTTATATGACCATGTCTGTGCTCTAAAATAGCACCTACTCCTGCTGTATTTTCATAAAGTTTACCGGTCATCTCTCTTTCAGTATACTGCTTCTCACATTGCATCCACATCTCAGTTCTCCATAGAGCAGCCCCAGGATTGTCTGAATGAATAAAAGTATAACATCTTTGCCTGTTACCTTTAGAGATCATTTTCCCATCTCCTCCAGCTCTTACTCTGCCTGCAGGATCTTCCTAGATATCATTCCCAGACCACCCCACCTCACAAGTTAGAAAATCAATGTAATAATACAATAATATGAGAAGGCTCATTACTCCATATCTATTTTAAATGTATTATTTAATTATTTTCTCATTAGCAACACTCTCTTCAAGTCAGTTACAATTTGTTCTGATTATACCTACAGTAGACTACCCAGGACAGTTTCAGTATCTTCTGCAAATTAACGATGCAATAATTAAAGAAATATCCAATCTCCAGTGGAACCATCCATCAAAATGGGAGGATCATTTCAACCTGTCATCCTGAAGCATACTTCTAAAGTACTGGAAAATTGTTGGGTTTAAAATGCACATCCATATAAGCATAAACATATACAGTTAAGAGCTGGAAGGGAATAGAAGTGCCATCTGGTACAGCCACTTCCATTTTATTCAGATAACAAAACAGGTTCACATATAAAGGGTTTTCCAAGAACATTTTGCTAGTTTTGGCAAAGTCAGGACTGGGAATAAAGTCCAGGATGTTTATCAGTGTACTCAGTGCTTCCCCAAACACAATCTCCTCTTTTGCTTCCCATTCATTGCCTCAAAACTCTTAAAAGAAGTTTGCCTTCTTTGATGAACAGATGATATGAATAGATCCTTAAAAAGAGACGCTGGCCAACAAAGAACTTGACCATAAGTAGGAAGATGATGCAAGCACAAGTGCTGAATCCAGACATAAATCATATCTTCACATAGTGTTTACAGAAATTGTGTTTTGAATAATTTCCATAGAAATTGTTTTATCCATGACAGGAATGTAATGCTCGTTCACAGGGATCTAACTAAACAGAAAAAGAAACAAAATGAAGGAAGAGTTGTAACTTAGATTTATTATATAAAAAATATTAGTTGGAACTTAAGTAATAAATCTCAAGGAATCAGAGTATTTCACGCACTCTGGTTTTTCATAGAAAAAGTAAACCACAAAAAAAGCAAGCATATATTAGATAATTTTAAAATGCTTTGAGGGTTTTATTCTAAAAAAGGAACACATTTTCCCCCACCTCCGTGCACTATCTTTATTTCTAAACGACTCTTAACTCTCTGCACACCTCTTTCTTCTCCCTCACATATGTTCATTTAATCAATCTGCCAATGTTTATTGAGCCCTTCTTTGATGGGCCAAATACTCTGTGAAGTCCAAGAACAGGAAGATATTGCCTTCCAGAAATTTAATGCCTGTTTAGAAAGTTAACCTAAGTTTTAGAATTTTTTCAGGCTTAGATACATTTCTAATTCTATAAATGGATAGTAGTTCTGTACTGAGAATTTCCATCACACCTTCCAGATCTACCATTTATGTTTTTAAGTCATGTTTTGTGCCTCGAGGGTTGGCAGAAGGACTGACCCATCAGGCCCAGATAAATCATGTTCCCTTGCTCTGGGCTTCTACAAAGGGAAAGAAACAAAAGATCAAAGGGTAAAGGGAGAGAGGGGCCAAGGTATTGCACATATTTTCCCTGTACCGGCCACTGTATGGGTAGACAGTAGTGACATTCCTCTCTCAAAGGTTGGTTAGGGAGCCTTTTCCAATAATCTTCTGTCCTACAGGTCATTGTGATTGCCAGTAACAAAATAATAGGCAGGTTTTAGAGAAAACAAAACAAAACAGAAAGCAAAACAGTTGGAAGCTGAGAGAACTTTTACTTAGTTAGAATGAAGATCCATCAAGATAGTCTCCCTGCTCTTTGCAAAGAGACCCGTCAAGCTACTTCATCATCATAGTTGGTTGAGAATTTCATATTCTCCTATTTTCTATAAACCTAAATATGCCACAACTGTATGACAAGTAGGATAATTTTATTTGGGTAAGTGTAGCTGCCTGGTACAATCTTGAAAAAAATTGGAGGTCTATTCTCAGTATCTTAGTATCTTCCGTGGACATGGGGGTCAGTAGATATGCCCTAACATGTGAATCCTGAGTGTAATACTGTATCTGTATTTCTAAATGACTCTTCATTTGGGACTAATCAGATATCCACAACCAGAGCCGCAGGAGTTACAATGGATTTATTCATCCTATTTTTTTAACTCAACATGTAAGGAGAGAGGTCAATGGATGTTATTCACTGAGGTCAGTAACAGGGATAGTATGCAGATCTTCAAGGTTAGGCTCAGTTCAACTAAAAGAAAATAAAAGGAAAGGAAAACATTAAGCTGACTGTCAGTGGGTTTGGGGGAATCCAGTGAAATCTGACTGGCTCAAATAGAATTTGTCTGAGACAGTGAGGTTAATAACATATTTTAAAGGGATCTTTTGATTTGGTTTTTAGAAAGATCAAGATCTAAGCATTTGTCACAGCTAAAATCCAAGAATCATACTACATAGGAGTGGGAAGGAATATAATAGTTTGATTACAAATATCAAAGGAGAAAACAGAAAAAACCTCACTAAAAGCTACTTCTGAAAGCTTTTTGGACGCCTTTCTAAAGTTTTCTTTGTATAACATAAACCTGAAAGCAGAAAGCCAGTTCATGCCCAATGTGAGGTACAGTGGTATCTCAGTTCACAAACTTAATTATTTCCATGATTCTGGTCACAAACCAGAATCCGATTTGGTTCTCGTGCAATTTGGTTTGTGACCAGAATGGCGGAAAAAATTGAGTTCACAAACTAAGGTACCACTGTAGCTAGGAAATGAGGCTGATGCGAAAATAGAATGTGGATAGACAGCATACAGAGTTTGTCTCTAGCGTCGCATCATCTGGGAAAGATACACCATGCAAAAAGAGACAACCTGGTAAAATACCCTTTCAAAAGTTTGATTTTACTGATTTTAAAGTTCTATTTCTTCCATGTATCCTAAGAATGAGGATCAGTAGTGTGAGTGGGGAACACTGAAAACAGTTTCTTACAATTCTCCGAAAGTGTTTTATTATAGATCTACCCTTCAGGAAGCAATTCTTCTTGTTTCAAGACCTGCTCTCTAACTTTGGGAGAACACATGAACTATTAACATGGATCCTAGAGCATGTTCTCCTCCTAGCACTGCAGACTTTCCAAGTAACAGTTTTCTGAAGATCAGTAAGAGATTACTTCAGTTGGCTCTGTCTCTACCCACCCTTGCAGCCTTCCACTAATCTCAATCAAAAGTACTATTCCTCTGCTGTGGAACAGTAATCAGAGACCTTAAAGAAGTTGTATCTAGTAACATAAAAACTATCATCTTTTCTCTTAATTCAAGGAAAAGGTACTAAGAAAAATCCCATGTTATTCACAACCCTTATGCTATTCTTGGTCCTTGATTTTTGTTAGATGGCATTTCTAGAAAGTTATACTAATGCCTCTCTTAAAACTCTTCATGTACAAGATAAATTTTCTGATTACTGTTCTGACACTAGGATAATGCACACACTAAGACAATTTGCAGTCTCCCAAAATCTACAGGGGAAAGACATCCCTTAATGTTAGGGATGGACAGAGAAGTGTCAGCTTTTAAGATCTCAGACATGCGCTTGTTTTGACACTTGGTTGTGGCTTTATGTGAAATCCTTCCCCACCTGGACTACTCCTAACCTCAGCTTCTTCAGCTTTACAGTAATGTCACTGAAAATAGTACACTCATCTGGAGACTGAAGTTTTTCCCATTCCTGCTCTTATTTGTTCCATGGTTTGGGTCAAGGTACTTATCTATGGACCAGTTTCATCAGCTATAAAGTGTCTAGCAGAACTAGAGTTTAGATAAAGCTGAAAAAGAATAATTACCAAATCATTATTATAGCTTTCCACATACTTTGATGACTCTCAGAAGTCAACTCAACTGCCTCACTTTGGTTTGGGTCCTTACAGTGGGTCCAGTATAAGATGGCATTGTCAGAGAACTGCAACTATACTCATAATTTTGAAAAAAAAAAAAGACTTATTTCTATTATAGAATCACCCACTCTATATTAGAAAAAAATCTTATTTAATATAAATGAAAGGTCAAGTGTAAGTGGATTGTAAGTGGATAAGTAAGTTTTGAATAAAATTGCCATCTAACTTTTGCAGTCTGTGAAATTCTTCTTTAAGTGAATAAATGTGTAGAGAAACTCTCCATTACCTCGTTCAGCACCAAACACCAACCTGACGCTTAGAATTAAATTAGAGAAACAAAATTGGATACTTTGAGACTTGAGGGCTGATTATACTGCTAGAGCTAAAAGTGGATTTAAACTCTTCCCTTATCCCACTTAAATCTAACTAGGTATAAACTCTCCATTACTAAGGAACAGAGGTGTGTATGCAGAGGTAGAGGTTCCCCTTGATGTTCTTGGACAAGGAAACCTAATCCCTTTTTCTGACACACATGGTTGCAATAGAAACTGTTCCTCAACTGCCAGTCTGGTTTTAATCTGTTGTTTTTAGCAAGAGAGGATTTGCAGAAACTATTGAGAGCAAAATTATCAGAACTTAACTACAAAATAAAAGTGTTGATGAGAAATCAAATTTTAAACAAGTGTCCAAAACTGTAAGCACAAACATATGTAGACATACACTGAATGCTGTAAGACGAGAGCTATAAAAGTTTTTAATCCTAAGTATATCTAAAGCCTACTTTTAATACATTTATAATCTCATTTTACTAGAGTTCTTCAGCTTACCCAAATGATAGCAGTGGTAAAATACTGTTCTTAAACATAGTTATTAAAACAATACTGTGAGAGAGTGTGGAAAATCCATACATGCATTTTCAGTATAACCAAATTTACCACTGTATAATGTAAACTTTTAAAATGTTTACCATTTGGCATGGAAACATTTCATAATTTCTGTTTAAAGATACACTAATATGTAATCTTTGTCTAGTTTCATGGCTACCTTTATTAAAATAAGCTAAGTGTCTGTATATTCTTCTTCCTAGAAGAGTTAGAAGATGGTAGTGGCCTTTTGGTTATTCTTTCTCCAGTGCCAAGATGTTATTTTGAAAGAGTAAAAAGCAGACAGAACTGGCTCAATTTTTTCCCTCCTGTACCGGGGACTGAACACAAGTCCTCATGCATAATAGTGGGGTAAGTACTCCATCACTGAGCTACACCTCCCAACATACTTTATTTTTATTTTGAGACAAGATCTCACTAAATTGCCCAAGATGGCCTGGATCCTTCTGCCTTACATTCTAAAGTAGCTGAAATTATAAGTATGACTGGTTTATTTTTACTAAGGCCTGTATTTCTCTCTCTCCCTCTCTCTCTCTTTTTTTTACTTTCAACTTCTTCTGGCTGTTAAAAGTAGTATACCAATCTTTGACAGTAAACTATGCAATTCATTAAAATCAAATTTATATTTAAAAGAGATGGTTACTCCATATTAGGCATCACCTAGATGGTGGGGAAAATGTAACAATTATAAAATTCCTACAGAATTATAAAAACTATATAGTCCTTGTCCAAAAATAACCTAGCTGATTGACACTCAAGGATCACATGATCATCACTATGGTGTGAAACACCATTTAATTCTAACAATGGTTTATACTTTAAAAATCAAGATACTGATGTAATCAGATGTATTCAAATAAATTTTCTTTCATGAACATATGCTGTGGAAATATCACCCATGAAAATATGATTATTTACAGTATATGAGTCTCAGCACATGAAACTAAGACTACTTAAGGACAGAGTACAAACCCAACAGTTTCAGATGCACCAATCTCACTGTTATGTTTCATCTGAATAATTAGAAATATCAGATGTCTAGTCTGGCTAACTCCCAGGGTCATAAAATCTAATTAAAATATACCTATTAAAACTGTGTTGTAATGCTTTGTTCTATATGTGAGTACTAAACAAGGCACTGATTGACAAAAACTTGCAACTGATTGATAAAATTTTACAATGGCTATCATATACCTCTTACCCTGGTAAGGTCTTTAGGTTTCAATAAATATTCTTTGCCTTCTCAGCTATCTCTTGGCTAATTTATTTTCATTATCTCACCAGTTTTATTCCACAAACTCTTATCTGGCAATTTCAAAGATTTCCTTGGGTTCAATACTCATGTTTTGTAGTTCAAACCTCCCTCCCAAGCTACAGACTCATGTATATATCTAAAAGGTATCGTACTTGGAAGTAAAACAGGAACCTCAGATTTAACAAACAGAATGATCCATTTTGTTGATGAATAGAATTTGATTTCCTTAGCTTTTTCCCTCTTCATCCCTGTAATTACTTTTTTACTTCTAATTACACCAATTATGCTTAACTTCATGAGTACATTGTATACTTGCAAGATATTTTTCGTTTTATCAAATTGTATTGTAGTCATCCAATACACAAAGGAACTCTGACAAATCCCTCCCATGATTATATTATTTATAAGTACTTACACACTTTTACTGAAAGATTTGGGTGCAGTAACAGCAGGAGAGCTCTAGTAACATTCCCATAATTTTTTTAAAAAAATTTCCCATTAGGTATCATCATATTTTTCCTCAATCCCACCTGGACCAGGATGAAGCACTTCCCCCTTACTACCTATTCTTCCCAAAGTTGGTATTTGCTTTTGTAACACCTCATCAGTATGGATCATTTGTTTGTTACCTTCTAGGCTGTGCACTTCTTGAAGGTAAGGTTCATACATTTTTTATACCTTCATTCAGCGTCTCATTCATGGCCCTGTACTAGACAAAGTTCGCAGGCAGAACGGATAACCCACATGGGTCTCAAAAAGCCACTTACTGACCTCTAAGAAACGTGGGAGCCCGCATTCCTAGAAAAAATTCGAAAAAGCTGGATTGCTAGCAGCAGACAGGCAATTTATCTGACCCTATTCCCAATCCTAGGCGCCACTGTTTATATCCCCAACGAAGGTTCTCCCCCAAAGGGACCTGCCCAAAAACCGGGAAAACAGGAAAACCTAGGCGAACGTTGTCCCAAGGCCCACCTCCAAAGGAAAGAGCTTCCAGGAAAGGATATGCGCATGCGCAGCAAGCGAAAGGCTCAGTGAAAATGGGAAGGGCTCTCAGTGACGTCATCCAGGAAGTACCAGCTAAGCCCTTCTCAAGATGGCGCTGCGCGCAATGAGGAAAGCGCGGGGGTGCAAGAGCGTCATCCGGGCACTTCACAAAGGACCCGAAGTTGCTCCCACTACCCAGGTAACTGAAGCCGAGCCTTTTCCCGCCGACTTCTTATTCCCTGAGCTTTTTCTCAGTACCCCTTTCCTCCCTCCATTCATCTTCTGCTTCCTCGGCAGAGCACCGAGATGTCTGTCTCTTAAGATCCACTGGAACGTGGAAACGTTGCAAAGATACGTGATGACGTAAGGCTTCCTTTCTATTAGGAGCACGCAGCTTCCTGACCATGTGGTCGCGAGCGCGGCTGTTGCTGGGCAACGTGGGAAGCCAACCTTGGTGTAAAATTGTAAGAGACCAAGCACCCTGTGGTTCTGGGATTGCTTTCCTTATGGTTCCATTACTACTGTTATCCTCTTGTCCCTAACAGCAAGCCAGTGGTGCATGGAGAAATGAGAAAAGACATCTTAGAATTGGGCGGTTTAGGTTAATGCAGTCTAACGACCTCCCTCTGGCAGTATGGTTCAGCTTTCACAGACGTTTTCAAGGATTCACCCTTAGGCATACTCCAGCAGGTTCTGTGAAAAAAAAAAAATGACAACAAGCTACCAAGTGCATCATCCTGTTACCATTTTTTCTCGTCCTGCTGAGAGCATGACAAACCTTTCATCCCAACCGTATTTGGAATTTTACCTAACTAGCAAAAAAAAAAAAAAAAAAGTTGGATGGTATCCTTTCACTTGTTCAGACTTAACTACTGCGCGTCTTCTGAGTGAAAACTCAGTAGTAACCGCTTTGACATACACTACCGATAATGTTAACATGTGTAAGTATATTTATTCTGAGAACTAAAGAGAAATTTGAAACTCTGATTGTTAGGTAATTACCTGAGGAACACCTTAAATATTCATGTTCATTAATGTGTAGATGTGACATGAGGATGTCATAGTGTAGCTGATGAATTGGAAAGCGCACTATACTGCAAGTTAAAAAACAAGATCCAGGGCTTTGACTGCCACTGGCTGTGTTACATGACAAGTCACAGTCTCTCTGGGTTTATTTTCCTTAAAAATCGGATGGAGAGAGACTTAGACTGATTGACATGTTAAGGCATTTTCAAGCTTTGGAAAATCTGTGGCTCCCAGACTATGAAGGCAAAATAAAGCCAGTGATAATAAGTGGAAACTAAAATTAAAGTTCAATTTATTTTTCTAATCTCATAAATTACTTAATTTTGTAAACTTTTATTTCCTTCATTGATATGAGCCTCTTGAGGATAAAGGAAGTATACTGAAAAGCTCTTTGTAAGCAAACACCTATTCATTTGTTATTTTAAATTTTAGGAGGCAGTGTTAGGTCATTTCATTTATTATCACTGGCTTTATTTTGCCTTCATAGCCTGGGAGCCACAGGTTTTCCAAAGCTTGAAAATGCCTTAACATGTCAAGCAGTCTAACTCTTCCTCCATCCGATTTGATTCCAGTTTAGATCATCAGCTGCTCTTCTTAAAGTTTGATTCTTCAGAACCAGAATTAATTTTTATAACAAGTTAATAGCATGTTAAAGTGTATACTACTGGTACCAAGGTGACTAAGCCATAAACTACCCTTTATTCCAAACTGAAAAATAAAGAAAAAAGGAAAAACAAACTAGAGCCTGCTCACGATTGCCCAGTGAAGTTGAAGACATGAAGTCATTACAAATACTAAAGAAAACAACTTAAACCTCTTCTATTGTTTCAATGGCATTTATGAATAGAATTATTCTTAAAATTAACTGTTAATCTATATTGTTTCAAGATGTGCAGAACAGATTAGTATTTGTAAACCTGTAATTTAGCTTTGAATAGAATTAGAATTAAATATGACAGTATTTTTGTGACTTGTAAAACTACATATGCTTTCAGTCATAAAAATGAAGTTTTGAAAGACTAATGCAGTCCTTTGAAAGACTAATTGAGAAAAATAAATTGTATTTGTAGTATGGTTAGAATATTATGTATAAATATTATTATCAATATGTACACAGAAAAAAAGACTAAAAGGAAACAACCATTCTTAACTTTTTTGTTGTGCTTTGGTCTTCCTAAAAAGTAGATTTTAAAAAATTTAAATTTTCTTTCAGCATTATGTTTCACATGTTCTAAATTCAAGATGTATCACTTTTACAACCAAAAAGAATTTGAAAACATAAATCTCCATACAAACCTGTAGTCATTAATATTCTTCATGTATTTTAGGTTTCTGAGAGAGATACTTGTCCTACAGTGCTGTTATTAAAATGGCCTTAGAAAAGGACTACTAAAAATTTATGAGCACTTTTCCTGTGTGTATCTTCTTTTTCTCTTGAAAAGCTTCCTTTGAAGTCAAAAGGATTTTGTGAACAGATGCAGAAATATGTGAAGGAAGAATTGGATTCTTAAACCAGATGCATTAGACATTTTTATGGTATCTCATAGCCTTTGTAGAAAACAAAGAAATATTTTACCAAAGTATAACAGAAATAAATGTATTGATCTCATAGATGATTTTATCAAAAATCAAGGAATAGCTAAGTTTCTTGTTTGTTTTGGCTGTGCACTTATCCCCTCAAGTGGGAAGCAAACCTGGATAAGCCTTAGCAGTAGTTTGTAAGGAACTGTGATTAATAAGAGTATTGAGGTTTCTAAGTTGTTTTAGTGTTTGCTGAATCTTTTTTAAACAGTGTTTTAGGTGAAACACAGCATTGGTAATCTTTAATTATTTTGGATAGGCTTTTGTTATTCAGGGCTAGAGTTAAACTCAAGTTCAAAACAGGGAGAAGAGGGCTGGGGATGTAGCTCACTTGTCTAGCATGTGAGGAATTAACTCTACACTTGGTGTAAAATTATAAGAGACCAGGGGCCTGAACATTAACGTGTGTGTGTGTAATAACAGTGTATCACATGATACCAATTGTGAGATGTCAACAATTTATATGAAAAAGGTTTATTTTGCCAGGTGTTGCTTGATAGAAAACTGATGAAATCTAACAAGATGAGAGTAGTCACAGAATCAGGATTGAAATTCTGACATGTTATGTTTAAATGCTGATAGCATTAGGTAAATTTAAGCCTGTCATCATTGGCCAAACACAGAATCCATACTTCTGTAAGCACTAATTCATGATTGTATTGTGCAGAGAGTAAAATATTGATGGTTAGTAGATTTCTGCACGACTACTTATAGTCATTCAGTTAAGGTATAAAATATCCACAACTTAAGGCAGTTCAACAGTGTGGTTCATTATTAGCCATCTTCAGCCTAGGTTTGGTCAATGTTAACATGCTATTTCTGCTGTTAACAATCATTAAATATAGCCGTTAGTTGAAGGAATAATGTTTACCAAAAAATAGACACGGTATTAGATTTTTGATCTTGAATTTAGTTCTCATTACAAGACTTTTTATGATTATTTTAAAAAATAATTTGAGGCCAGTGTGTGGTGGCATACGCCTGGAATCCCAGCGCTTGGGAGGCTGAGGCAGGACGATCATGGCGAGTTTGAGATCAGCCTGGGCTACAAAGGGAGCTGAAGGCCAGCCTGAGCTGCATAGTGAGACCCTGTCTCAAAAAGGCAAAAAATAATAATAATAATGATAATAATTTGAGATTTACAAATTTGCAGCATTCGTGCAGAGAATTCTTATATCCCCATCACTAAACTTTGTCTTTAATAATCATAATACAATTATCAAAACCAAAAACTTAATATTAGTGCAGTACTTTTAATTTAGTTAAAGACCTAATTCAAATTTCATCAGTTTTTCATTAGTCATTTTTTTGGTTTAGAATCCACGCCAGGATCCCATATCACATTTGTTTGCCATGGATTCCAAATCTATAACACTTTCTCAGTCTTTCAAGACTTTGGTACTTGTGAAGTACACTGGTCAGTTAAGTTGTAGAATGTCTGTAAATTTTTCTTCCCAATGAGTTCTCATATTTGGACTGAGGTTATAGATTTTGACAAGAGTACACAGAAGAGATGCTCATAACAAAGCTTTAAAGCAGTTGTTAGTAACTTACTTTAAACTTTAGGAAGTAGGCTTTAGTTAAGTAACCTACCCAATATCACACAATTAATGGTGGAGTCAGGATAGTAAAATTTCCTGTGGGCATTTCACTCTATATTTTGCAATTAGTGTTTATAGTTGTAGGTTTCTGTGATCCTAATGACAGTAAATTGGGGTAGTTTCACGTGGCTTTTCTCTCAGCACTGCCAGTTTTGTTCATGCAAACGTGGAACATGAGCTAATCATCATGGAAAGCTTTCAAGAACTCTTATAGCCAATTGAAAGTTTTGCTAGTTGGTACTGCCAGGTTGATCAGGTATTTTGTCTCTGTGCTTTTCTTAAAATTGTACAGGAGGGTATTAAGTGAATCCACTCTATAGGTCCTTTTAATCTCAGTCAACAAGTCCATTCATTGGAAATAAACTTTAGATTGATGGCCCATGTGAACTGACTTAACTTATATAACTACTAGCTAGTATTTCAATTGTTTGAAAATTATCTCTGAGCAGCTAATAAAAACTACTGATAGTAACTGCTGAAAATAAGAAGAGGAATACTAGATAAGTGCTGAGGATTTATACTGGCAACCTTTAAGGTAGCCACAGCCAGGAATTGCCAGAGGGTAATATTGCTGACCCCCAGATTGTTTCTTAATATACTTGCATAACTCCAAGTTGCGGAAAAACTGTCTATAGAAGGGTATAGATGTAGATATAGACATAGACACACGTACATATAGACGTACACACAGTGAAACCTTGAATTGTCAGTAATTTGTTCTGCAAGGGTTGCACAAGACAAGCAAACATTTCTAATAAATTTTATGTTGATAAATGAGCAATGTCTTACAATAGCAGTAGTAAGTGATGCTAGATGTCACAGAATTACAACTGAGCCAAATGATCCTCTCTTCTTTTCTCTCTTTCCTACTGTGGGATTCTGGGTGATCATCGCCCAACAGCAAGAGATTATGGAGGAAATCTCCTCTGCAGAGGGGAAGGAGAAAAAAGGTGGAGGAATCCTTCATTTTATATGAGATTTAGGAGATCTGTAAGATGTGAGAAACAATGCAAAAGTTGTAGAAAAGCACCACATGAATAAGGCTGTAGCAGTGTGAGTAATGAATCTGTCTAAGGACAATGCAATGTCACATTTCTGCAAAATTCTCAAAAGGAGGGAAAAGCAAGTGTCATTAGATAGGTTCTTTGTTAAAGCTGTACATATAGAAAAAAGATTCCATTGACCCAATAGAGAGCAGTGATTCCATTAGTGATAGTGAAAGTCATCCTACACAATAACCCTCCTCTTTCGTCTCC